CAGTGTAGAAAATTTTTTCATCAAAGAGTTAACTTTTGCATGGTTTATTAAATTTTTATAATAGCTATTTTGTAATAGAACATTCACTTTTATAGTTAAGAATGCACATGTTCATGCTAGTTGTTTTTTTATATGGGGAGGTAATAAATGTATTTATTATTGCTGTCTATCAATATATAAAGAAAAGGAATTTTATTCTTAATGTTAAGTTCACATGTGAATTTAAGACGAGTCTTTTGAAAGTTTTTTTGTAGTTCGTGTATTTCATCTATGTTTTTAAATAACAGGAGAATATCATATACATATCTTAGGTAGATAAAGGGATTTTTAGTGGTATTAAATATCTTATTTTCATGGTTAATCATATAGAAGTTAGTAAATGTTGGTCCTAGAACTGAACCCATGGAAACTCCATCACATTGTATGTAGATATTATTTTGATGATCATAGAAGAGAAATTTAGTGGTACAAGTCAAGAGTAGTTTCCATAATATGTTTGGTTTAATTTTTAATGGAGGGTGAGATGGCGTATTGTAAATATTCTTTATAATTATATCAATCATTTCTCTAAATATGACATTGGTAAATAAACTTTCAACATCAAGTGAAACTATGATTTCATTATTAGGTTTTTGTGTTTTTTAAGATTTGGGTTAGTTCATGAGTTGATTTAATTCTGTATTTACTAGGTATGTATGGTATAATGAGTTGGTTAATGATTTAGGTTAATTGATAAACCAGTGTGGGGAGTTTGGTTTTATGACAGGACGGAGAGGGAAGTTAGATTTATCTATTTTTAATGTTCCATCCGTGTTTGTAGTTACCATTTATTTTGAGAAGTTTTAAGTTTTCTTGTTCTGTATTGTTGGCTGTGATCAGTTTGATGATTTTTAATTTCAGTTGGTTAATTAGATTTTTGTTGACTTTTTTTAAATTTGGTGTGATTGTCAACTATTTATTATAATTTTGAATTATAATCAGATTTATATGTCTTGATCATTTAATCAAACATGCTTGAATATATATATATATATATATATATATATATATATATATATATATATATATATATATATATATATATATGTAGGTGTGTGTATTTATATATACATGCATATGTAATTGAACACTTGCCTTGTGATTCAAGGCTAAAAAAAGGATCTTCAAATAAATGCTTGTCATCTTCTAGCAATTTGAAGTGAATCCTTATAAATTATTTCTTAGCTTGAACATATGAACTTTCAGTGATAATTAAAACATTAAAAAAACGTGTTTCTCATTAAACAATCACAAGGTTCCTTCTCCTTGAAGTTGATTAAAAGCATTTTTTTTCATCTTTACTGAGAAACAAGACAAAGTATAGATTCTTTAACTTCTTATTTTTAACAGAAGAAAGAAATGTCAAAAAAAAATGGTCTGAAAGTGTCAAAGCCAGATGGACAAAGTGTTCTTCTACCTAAATAAATAAATGGCAAATTCTGTTTGCCAGTCCGTATGACTGAAACCTCTTTAACGTAGGCCATACTTGCTGTACAAAGACGTATTATACATTTTTGGAATCAGGATTGAAAATCTGCGCTTCATCTGGTGTTTGAACATCTGGCATTGGGATTTGTGTCCAGATGAGGTGGAAACAGTTAAAAATTCAAATTTTAAAATAACTGAAAAAAAATTAGTGATTTTAAAAGTTTTTAATTTATATTGAGTTTAAAGTAACACAAAAAACTTTATGAATTAAAAAATTTTTGATTTAAATTCAGTTTAAAATATTTCCAAAATTTTGTTAATTGAGGAAATCAATTTAATTTCTTCAAAATGCCAAGGAATCAGAGTTAAAGTTAGAGGTTTCATGAGGTTATAAAGTTCTCAATTTATGGCCTGAATTGGAATTTCAGCCCAAATCAGTCTTTTGGCCAGAATTGGACTTATAGGCCAAATCAAAGTTAAAGTAAGCTTTTGAAGTTCCATGTTGTGAATTGATGAATTCAAAGTTATTTCTTTAAAATTATCATTTCTGTTTTCTAAGCTGGACCAGTAGTCACTTTAGTTTTTTGCCAGATGCCCAATTAGCTCTCCACAGGAGCTAGCTTAAAAGTCTACATGTTATCTTGTGGAACATGGTTCAAAATATTATTTATTAATATCGATCCATTTATTTGTTTTTTTTTTTTATTATGTTCATTGGTTATAGATAATCAAATATTTATTAGCACAGGATTAACAGTAACTGGGATAGTTTTAAATTTTTATTACATGTTAAGTTTTCTTGCTCCTGAATAACCTGAATTGCAACTGAGGCAACAGAAATGTGACTCTACAAAAAGATGATGAGAATACCATGGACTGATCATGTTAGTAACAAGGAAGTTTTATAGAAAATGGAAACGAAAAGGACTCATACTTAGAATCAGAAAGAGAGTTAGAATTTCTAGGGAATATAATGAGGAAAGAGGGCTTGGAGAAATTGACAATCATGGAACATTGAAGGCAAGAGGGACATTGAAAAGTAGTGAATAACTTGCCTAACAAGCTTGTATAAACAGTTGGTAGAACAAGGATTAAGAGAAAAAGCAAAAAGACAAACATTGCCAAGCTACAAAAGGCAGGAAATTGTAGATCGCCCACTTCATGAAGTGACATGAAATTTTATTGTATAATAAAGTGATTTTATGACCCAGTACCCCTTCAGCTATAGGGCTTATATAAATAAATACTTTAAAATAAAAACCTGAATACTTATAGTTTTTATCACCTGAAAAATCTATCAGACTAAAGCAGTTCTGGCCAAAATAGGATCTATTCTTCTTTTATGTCTTTCAGTATGTGTGCGATCATGGCTCTCCACAACTTTATCTCCTTACTATCCCTCCCAGCTCCTGTTTAGCTATTCATTTACTCAACCTCATTAGGAAGGTTGCCTGATGTTTCTTTCTACTCCTCATTTCTTTAATATGTCCTGTGAGTGACAAATTTTCTAAGCCCTTTTTCCTTGTTATGTACCCTAGAAATTTCAACTCTTTCTGATTTTAAGTGTAAATGTCCTTTTTGTTTCCATTGTCCTTAAAACTTTGTTGTTGCTTACATGTTCAGTCCATGGCATCCCCAGCATCCTTCTGTAGGACCACATTTCTGTTACATTGAGTCTCCTTTTCAAATGTGAGGAAATTGTCCAGCATTCAGTGACTTATAGAAGATTAGATATTACATAGGCTAGCAGTTCTCAATTTTTTTGCCTGAGCCACCCTTTTCACCATATATCAGAATGTAATTCCTGCTTTTCCAAGATTGTCCAATTCAAAGGGTGTATTCAAAATAATATGCAGATACAGAGTATCCATAATGTCTCTTTACAATTTAAAAAATTATTACAAAAGGAAATGAACAGATAAATATGTTGAAACTGTTACAAAATGAGGAGTAAATATTGAAGATTTTTTAACTCATCTAATACCCCACTATATGAGCACCATTAGTTGCACGAAGCACATCAAGACAGTATTTGATTTCTTTCCAGGTTTGCTGTAGTATAGCCTCATCAATGGTGGCAATGGCATCAGTGATCTTTTGCTTCAGATCAGTGATATCCCATATCTTTTGCTTCAGATCAGTGATATCCCATATCTTTGCTTCAGATCAGTGATATCCCATATCTTTTGCTTCAGATCAGTGATACCCCATATCTTTGCTTCAGATCAGTGATATCCCATATCTTTGATTCAGATCAGTGATATCCCATATCTTTTGCTTCAGATCAGTGATATCCTGTATCTTTGTTCAAGATGTGATATCATTAATATAAATCCATAGAAAGAATTTCTCTAGTTTTGCTGAGTCTGCATATCCAATATTATTTCAATAAACCATGACAAACATTGTACCTTTTCTTGAGGAGTAGCCATTTTTAGGGGTTCATTTAACAATACCTTTTTCATCAACAGGATACCTAAAATACACAAATGCAATGGGGTTAAAAAATGTGTTAACTACTGAGTACATAGAACCAATCTGATATATCTCATCAATTGCCTTTGTAATATATTTTGTTAAATTGTAAAGAGACTTTATGGACACTGCATTATTGAAAATCTTCATTCTTTAGCATATTAGTACATAAACATTTACATGGATTATTTTTATAGAGGAGTTTTACAGATTTAATAGCAATAAAAAATCTTGATGGATATTTAAACTTGAATACATGTACAGCAATCTGTTTAAACAGTAAGTTTTCATAACTAATTATTAAATAAATAAACTGAAACATAATTCAATAAACAAAAAGTTTAATAGAATACCAGGGTATTGTAATTCAACAAACAAAATTCTGTAAATAGAAAAAGTAAAAGATTCTTCCCCATGGAACCCTGAAATCCCCTTTGGGAGGAAACCCCTCCCGCTTGAGAACCCCTGACATAGAAATGAATTTCCTTTTGTTTCTAGTAAAGTTTTCCTTTCTCTTTACACTTTTCTTAGTTTCTGGAAGGCATCTTTCACCATCCCTACACGTCTTCAGATTTCTGTTACATTTTATGTCATCTATTACTTCACTACCCAGAATTCCTATACCTGCTTGCTTTGAATGCCCCCCAGTATATACCTCACATCTTGCACTGTCTTTTTTGTTAACAACCACGTATTCTGTTTCTTTCCAGTTATCTTCTTTTTCTATATTGTTTGTCCATTTTTTTCCCATCTTAATATTTCATTATTTCTGCCGGCTTTTTTTTTTTTTATATGTAAGCTACATCATTTTACAATTAATAAAATAAAAGGCATTAATCTTTTTATTCTTTCTTCAATAAGTTTTTAAAAGATATCAGTTGCTGTCTTTAGGAGATTAAATATATTTTATTTTGGGTGTCTTTTGTTCACTACAACTCAGTTAACAATTTTCTGAAAAAAAATTGGTTATGAAGAAAATTAGAATGTAAAACAAAAAGACATTTTCATTCTTTGCTTTATTTTTCAATAATGAAAAAAAGAATATTTTTCCCTTTTTTATGCATACATTTTTCATTTCCTCTTTTTTCTTTCCAGAATTTTTGTTATTCTTCCTGTTTTTCTTTTCTTTCTTCCTTCCTTTTTATATGACTTTCTCTTTTCTTCTTTTCTGCTTTTTTTCTATCACTCTTCTTGTAAGGTTCACTTTATTTCTGATATTCTTTTTCTTTATTCATCTTCTCTTTTTCCATTTATGCTCTTTTCTTTCTTTTATTGATTTTTCCTTCTTTTTTTCACTCCTTTCTCCTTCTTTTAATTTTCTCTCTCCTTTATCTCTCTATTTTCCTTGCTCTTTTCTCTTTCTTTTTATTTTTCTTTTCCCTTTTTCTTTCCTTTTTCCTTTTCCTTTTATCTCTCTTTCTCTTCTCATTTCTCATTTTTTTCCTTTTCTCTTTCTTTTCCTTTTTTCATTTTTCTCTTTACTTTTCCTTTCTTTATCCTTTTTCTTTGCTTTTGTCTTTCCTATTTTCTTTTTCTTTTCTCCATCCTTTTCACTTCTTTTTATCTCTCCTTTTCTTTTCTGTCTCCTTTTTCTTTCCTTTTCCTTTTTTCTTTTCCTTTCTCTTTTCTCTCTTCTTTTCCTTTCTCTTTTCTGTTTTCACTCTCCCTTTTTTTCTCCTTTCTTTTTTTCTTGCTCTCTTTTTCCATCTTTTTCATTTTTTCTTATAACTTTTTCCATCTTTTTTCTTTTCATTTTTTTCCTCTATCCTTTTTATTTTTCCCTCTTTCTTTCACTTCATTTTGCATTTCATTTTTCTCTATTTTTTCTCTTCAAATTTCTTTTAAATTTTTTTTCATTTTGTCTGCTCAGTTAATAAACCTTGCCATTATTTTATCTTTGTCTTTCTCCCATAACATACAAGAAAAAGACAAGTTTATATATTTTCTTCCTCAGGAAATAATAGTCAATCTACAAGTACTATCAAATTATTTTTTTTTTTTCGTTTTACATTCTGAAATTTTTTCCTTCCAGTCTTTTCAAAGTTGTTAGCCTAAAACTATTTTATTTATCATTCCTGTATAATGCCAATTAAAAAAAATAGAAAAAAAAATCAAACATTGTGATAGCATCATAAGACAATAACTTAAAGTTCATAAAGATAGCTATGAAAAGTCTTATTAAAACAAGTTAATCTCTTTGAAGATCAAACAGCTTTTTCTTTCTTTGTTGCATTTTTTAATTCTTTTTTTTATTTTTGCTTTTTTCTGTTTATATTTTTTATGAAAAAGTTTCTTTTTTCTCAATTTAACATAAAGATTAGTTGTTGATGCAAACATTTTATAGCCAAAACTTTCTTTGCTTCTATAAAACTTTGTCTCTGTCATCAACTGAGCATGATACATATTGTAAGATGAGATAGCAGCAAATATTTCATTAGTAGATCAAACAACCAATACTGAAGGCATAAACCCAGTAAACCTTTATCAGCTAAATTCTTGTTTGAGGGTTTTCGAATTTTCAGATTTTGTTTTCTTCTACCAATAAAAGAAATAAAGTTAAAATACAAGAAAATTGAAAATTCTTAAAACATGTTCCAATTTTTTTTTATCATTTCATTCTAAGCAAGGTGATATAGCCACTAAGACACAAAGAGTTATTTAGAATGAAAGAAACTGAGAAAATATTGAGGAGAGAGAAAACATTCAAGGATTCAAAGAGACATGATGATTGATGTTTCATTTAAATTGTCGAATAACATAGTTGACAGGAAAGCAATAAGTGTGATGAAAGAAACAAATAATATAGAGCTTATGTTTGAAGATGAAGAATGATCATTATTATACACTGATTTACTTGGACTAGCTTTCTCATCTTGATTTTTATAGTCACACATTGAACCCTATGGTCTTCTTCAAGTGTTTTGGTAACTGGTAACCTCCAAGGAATTTTGAACTGAATTAACTCCTAGCTGCAGAGAGTAGAGATGGACTTATACTTTTGCCCTTTTTGAAATTTGCACTTTGTCTTCATTTTGTCCTCTGCACAATTCTGTAACTAATACTTGTTTTCTTATATCCTTCTGGCCTCAGTTTAAATAAATGTCTTTCTTTTTATCTCTCCTTTTCTTTTCTGTCTCCTTTTTCTTTCCTTTTCCTTTTTTCTTTTCCTTTCTCTTTTCTCTCTTCTTTTCCTTTCTCTTTTCGTTTTTTTCCTTTTGCATATCAATGCACATTATTGCAGTTTTCCATATATCTAAACTATAATTATAAACTATAATTTTAGCAAGTGATTATTTCACTGAAATATATTAAGTTTTTATATGAAACCAAGAAAATATAAACTTTAAGAAAAATGGTCACAATATAGGGGGGGAAGTATTATTTTAAGCAGACACCAGAATGATATGGGTTAAATAGCTTAGAAAGGAACTATTACTAACAGCATTGTGCCATAACATAGCTTCACTGTGTTTTTTTCTAAAAATAATTTCATGATAATGCTTTCCTTTTTGGTACCTAGACTTTACAAATTTAAATGAGGTACTCAGTTGGAAGTTATGGCTCATCATCTTTCATTTAAAATGGCTAGATGTAACCATAAATTCTATTCTAACAGTTTCTTCTATCATACTTCTTGCTTGTGTAAAACCCTTCCAGCTTCTTACTTTCCAGTCAACTTTGATCTTCAAAAATTTCAATGTCAATCATTATCTTCTGTCTTCTGATTCCCTGTTCTTTTATTGTACTTTCTCCTTCATAATGTTTTCTTTTGCTCATATTCTCTTACACTCAATAACCCCTTGCTTCTTAGTGATTTATTGCCTTGTTTGGGTTGAAATTATTAAAAAAAAACAATTGCATCTTTGTGGCTTTATTGCTTTGCTTGGGATGAAATGATTAAAAAAGTGAGCATTATACAATATATACAGGGTGATTGAAAAGTAATTTCCCATTTTAAAATACTTATAATTTATTTATTAACTATAATTTTTACAAGAAATGGATATGAGCAGAAAGAGTTTAGCATGAAGTTTTATTTAAAATTTGATATGGGCACCAGATTTCATTACCAGCTTCACAAACCATCCAGGAATCACATCAACTGATTTCACCAAGAACTCTTGTGGTATAAAAGACATAACTTCTTGCATTCACCCTCCAAGTTCTTCCAAAGTCTTGGTTTGGTATAGTTGATTTGCTCCTTTAACCGCAAAGAAAAGAAAAAGAAAGAAAAAGTCACAAGGTGTTAAGTCAGGACTCCAGACTGGCCACTCATACAAAAAATAGGGAGTTACTTTTCAATCACCCTATATATATATATATATATATATATATATATATATATATATATATATATATATATATATATCGATGCACATTATTGCAGTTTGTCATCTATTTATATAAGCAGTTATCTATGTTGGTATTTATTTCACTGTTGGTGAACAGTTAAAAGTACTTCTACTGTCATTGTACTACTAATTTTGTGGTATTTGTTTCTCTCCTTTGACAACCTTAATTACAGACTTGGTATCATCTATCTCCTGTAAAGTGGAGAGTAACAAGTTACTGCAAAAACACAACTAAACTATCAAGTTACTATCATTTATATAAATGACAGTAAAACAAGAGTAAATGATGTAGTTATTTCTTTTTTAAATGCCATGTCTCTTCAGGATATAGACAATCTCTAGAGTCCCTTTTTATTCTCTATGAATTGCTATTACTTCCTGGCAAAAGTTGTAGAGTTGTTAGCTATTGCTTTCTCCATGGGTGGAGAACGAAGCATAGTTGGATTATAAGCTAAAGTTTGGCCCCATGGGTGTTGAACAAAAACACAAATGTTTTTATGCAAGCATCTGCAACAGAATTTATCTTGTCACCTTAGCAGACTGATATACTCAGAAACAAGCAATCAGCCATACTATATATCCATGCCACTTACATATTAACAAACCACCCATATTCCCTGCGTATTCCATTGGCAAGAAGTAAGCTTCTTTCCACATACCACTGCCCTGTGGAACAGACACCCAAGAAGATGTTTCCCCAATCGCTACAATGTTCAATATTGTTTGCTTAGTATTAATATTTTTGCTCTGTCTTTTTCTTTCTTTTGTTATTGTTTTGTTGCTTTTTTTTCTGCCAATTACATTTAACCAAGGCCAATGTTTCTATATATATTTTAAATGTTTTTATATATATATATTGTTGAAGCTTAAATAAGCATGGAATAATACAACACAAAATGTACGTTAACAAAATGTATTGAAACAAAGAATAGGTACACAATATTTACAGTTAGTTTGGTATATTCTTGGGAAGACTGTTCCTGCATAATGGGTTGACTAAATCGCAGTCGGGCAGAGTCTCTGGATTCAATTTCTTAATCTCTACTATCTTCCCCGTCTTCCGGTACCAACCCATATTTATATGGTCGGTAGTCCGCTTATGTAAATTAGGTGTATCATACACAACATATATATATATAGATAGATAGATAGATAGATAGATAGATAGATAGATAGATAGATAGATAGATAGTTAAACCTAGAGAGCCAGATAAACCTACCAAGGTTTCACCTAAGTGGATCGTCAGGGAAGGCTGGCTCCAGCCTTTCCTGATGATGAGCATAGGTGAAACCTTGGTAGGTTTGTCTGGCTCTCTAAGTTTAACTAGGTCTGCTCTACTTAACATATTGATCACTTTATTTAGTTATTTTGCTTACTTGTATCGGTTTTTTTTTTTTGGACTTGCATGCTAGACGATTATTTTCGGTTAACGTACATGTTCTTTGTTCTTTTTTTTTATACCTTTTATTTCACTTTGGTATTGGTTTGATTATTATTTGCAAATCAAGACACCGAAGGTTTTCTGGGCAAGTATAATTTCTTATACTTATAAGATTATTACTAGTATATATATATATATATATATATATATATATATACATATAAATATAAATATAGATAACTAGACTCGTTTTAAAAACCCTCGAATTTTTTGATTTGCTAATCAAATCAATCTCGAGGGAAAAAAGGTTTTAAAAAAGAAAGAGCTACAAACATGGACTTCTGCCAACAAAAAAATCGCACAGATGCAGGTCTGAAGCCCAAAGAAAAAACCCCAATACGAGTAACAACTAACTAACAAAAGAGCTCAATACAACCGTAGAGCAGACCTAGATACACCTAGTGAGCCAGACAAACCTACCTAGGTTTCACCTAAACGGATCGTCAGGAAAGTTTGGCTAACGAGGCAAAGAGAAACACATATTTATAGGTGATAGCTAAAATCATACCACGTGACAAAATAAAAAAAAAAAAAAAACCTAAGTGGGGGGAATATTTATTCAACAACAAAAAAAAAAAAAAATATCAGTGGAAAGTCAATAACGGAAAAACGTCTAATTTAGTAGCCAAGATTTTTTTATGTCTACATACATTGAGAATTTCAGTTTTAGAGTTTAATAGTTGGTTGGGTTGATCATATAAAGCTATGGCTAATTTCTCCTCAGCACATAATTTGCAAAATTTATGGCCTGCTTTATATTTTGGGCATTTTTTTAATATTTCCCATTTAAGGATGGGATCTATATTATCTTGTTTGGTTTTCCATACGTAGGTAGATAGCGTGGTACTATGTTTAATTTTTGCATTCTTAAAACTACTCGTGTTGTTATAATATCTTTTTTAAATTTATCCTGAGTAGCACCTATGTATGTTTTAGGATTAGTATCCTCAGTATTTTTGTAAATTTTCACTTGATACACCACGCATTCCTGCTGGCATTTTCCCTGTAATGGACAGATGTTTTTGTTTCTACAATTACAAGTAGGAGGATTACGATGTGGATCATTCCTAGTTTTTTTCT